TACTACCAAAGTAAGAATGTTCCTTAACAAAGGTTGCATTTTGAAGGGAACGCTTGCCACTTTATGAAGACCTCTAAGTTTAGATGCCCATTGTACCACGAAACTAACTGATCAAATGAGCCGTTAATTGATTTTACTGTTTTTAAGCGTCATAATAGCTCACGTGAGAAATATTCGTACCCGTAGAGGGAAAACTGAGATATGAGAACGCGAAGTCGAGGCTCTACAGAAGCGATATGAATATTTCAACTTATTATTCGATTGCACAAAGTAGAGAACAAATATCCCGCGATTATGTACGGTTTTTAGGACAGTTGGTTATTTTGTACTTTAAAAAAGACCTGTTTGACAGTTTGGCTTCACTTGCCTTCTCTGGTGCCGTATTTAACAACTGTACCATTGTTCTTGGTTGACAACCCTTAGCTCTTCAAGTAACGGCAGCGATTCCTGCGTCGTCACCGTATGATTGACTCGGATGATGAAATTAGTTTTGGAAATTATTTTTGATATTCTTACAGCTCATCCCTGTCTTTGAGAGTTTGTCTCCCGGTAGATTCAAAGCTTTGTTACTGGCGATAAATTATTCATTGAAAAACGAACACTTTTGTACTTGTAGTACTTTTAAATGCGCACGATTTGAGAACAAATTCAACTTTGAATCGTTTTGACACCCTATGTGACAAGTTGACGTCTCATAAGCTAATCCGACCCGAGCATTACGCAAGACCTGTCACAAACCGCCTCTCTGTTTACTCCGCTTTTCCCGCCTTCTAAAACTTGCATAAAGATAAATAATTGTAAAAATCGTTGTTTGTATTTTGACTCACCCTGCGGACTCGTCAAAATACAGCTCAACTCGTAAAAATACTCCGCGATACAACACGCCAAAACGTCTAATGAGATATATTGAATGATATTTATGAAAGGAAAGACGGCGAAGAAAAAATGGCTTTAATCACACCAGATGAGGATAATAGCCAGTGGGAAGTAAGGGTTTGACGTTTTGATTGAAAAATTTTATCGTGTTATAACCTTCTTGGGAAAATGACCTGAAATCCCATGCACATCCGTAGAGGTTTTTCGATATTGCATGAAAAAGTTTGACACGCAACCTTCTAGAGATCTTGGGCGCCTGACCTGAAACCACTGAAATTGTACCTGCTCGAGAAGCCCGCATATATCAGACAGCTGAACTGAAGGGGAGTAAACGTTATAGATTTTACGCTACGATCTCAGATACCTAGATATTTATGTTATGCTTATGACATATACTATTATCATCATTATTATTATTACAGTAAATGGTTTGAACCAGGGGATAACATGTTATAGTGTAGTTTGATCGTCCGGGTGAGTGTAGTCCTGAGATGGACTGTTGTCGGTCGTGGTGACTAACGTTTCGCCAACCTGAGCGGAGGTCATCATCAGAGTCAAGTGAATAGTTGTTGTCAGTCGAATGTTCTTAGTCCGGTTTGTATAAACTGATTGGTCAATTTTCCCGTGATGTCGATTGGCTGTAAGACTTAAGTGGCGTCTTGGTCAGCCGTGATTGGTCGGTCTCGATCCGTTAGTAGAGTTAGGCTACATTCACACGGTGCCGAACGAATTTTCGACCGGCCGAAAATTTCGACCGGACATTCTATTCACACGGAACCGTGCGAAAGTTTCCTTCTGTTCAGATGGAACTGTGACACTTGCAGTGGTTTTACCATCTCCTCATGCGCACAACATTTCTTTAACCAAATGCAAAATG